TGTAATTAAAAGCGATATAATTAAGATATCTTATTTTAAGGTAGACCTTCATTATGCCATATTATGTAATTTATATATTTATATTTAATATAGTTTGCCTATATAGGCTTGCTTCTACCTCTACCAATAAATAAGGGGCAAGAGGGTAAGCCTAATGACAAGGTGAAATGTTTCAAGGTCTCAACATTCAAGCAAAAAAAGAAATCACAAGACTTCTCTCATTCTCTCTTTCTTTACCGCTTCCTCCCTTTTTCTAAATTTTTTTTTTTTTATAATTTTTTTAACCATGCTTATATGTAAAACTTGGGTATAGCTAATTGTATTCAAAATCCACCAAAAGAGTAATTAATGTGCATGAGCGGATCCAGCTTTTTTTTTCAGAGTGGACAAATTTTTTTTATGGGGAATGACCAAAAATGCTTATGATTGATAAAATTATGACAAAAAAGATTTCTGAGGGGAAGGAGGGGGTGCAAAATGCCTAAAATATCCAAAATATCTCCTCTAAATATTTAATTTTTTTTAGGGTGGGCATTTGCCCATCCTGAGTCCATGGTGGATCCGCCCATATTAGTGTGGAATGACTTCATGGATCAGAAACTAGAACTTGCATTTAAATAATAAAGAACAACTTAAAAATATAGGGCGATTATTTTGATACCCGAGAAATTAGCCCCAAGTCCAATGAAGTCGTTTATAACAATGAACTCTGGGAGAGCTCAGGCCAGAGCTCATTCCCTATAAAGAATTCATTTTTTTGGGTGAAATCTTTCCTCTCTTAGATAATTTCTTCCTTTTATCAGGAACAAAATTCAAATAGCTTAAGAAAATTAAAATATTATTGTTTAAATTTATAAAATATATATTTATAATTATATATATTAAATTACAACTTTATTGTTTTTGCAGGGTACAAAGTTTAAAATCAGATTGTATAAACTTGCTTTTATTCGAATGGTATAAGTGCTTACCATTTGCATGCACATTTTCTTATACGGCTATACCTTTATATTTTCTATATATATAGATGAGATTTAAATGTTAGCTTTTTCTATTACTTTTGCTTTCTCTTTAAAAGTAAAATTTCTGAATTTAAAATTCAAATATATTCCTGAGAAAATCGTTTAATAGAAAGAATAAAAAATATTTTTATTTTGATTATTAATAGAAAATCGTTACATTTTCAGTTATAGGCACATCAAGACAAAAATGTTATTGATTGCCTGAAAGCATCGGCCACAAGAAGCATAAATGGCCAGTCCAATTGGGACAAATAAGGCAGTCCAACCACACTTCCAACGCCATTCTGAGGTGCAGAAAGCATTTGGTACACTCAGATCCAAATGTGGCAATACTCAGGCAACTCAGCATGTATTATGTGGCAATACTCAGAGAACTTGAATTTTTTTTTTCTTTTTTACATGTAGGTCGATTAAGATGAGAACGAAGACCTCTTGATTGATAGCTAAAGCTTTCAACTAACATACCAAGATGAGCTGCATAGAACTCGGTATTCATTACCTTACAATGCTTGAGGAACTCCGTATTTATTACTTAATTAATTGGTATTCAATATTCAATAATGATCGATTGTATTTATTGCTCGGCCATATTTAAGGAACTCGGTATTCATTACTCGTAAATGCTAGAAGAACTGGATATTCATAGAATTGGATTTTCATTACTCAACAAGGCTCAACAATATTAATTATTTGACCATGATTGAGGAATTCAATACTCAGCCTTTCAACATCTGTGGTTTTTAGTTTAACGGTTCGCCTATAGTTAAAACTTTTGAGTTAAATATTGTGCCAAAGTTTCAATAGCCAAAAGGTCGAGCGCTAGATCTTTGACTCACCGCTTTGCGACAAAACTTGCAATAACTCGAACTCTCTCATTTGCAATAAGACCAACACTGATTAGTGAGAGTAGTTTTTTCTAAGTGATGAGCCTAGGTAGTTGCCTCTCAAAGTAAAAAGGTCTGGTTAAAGATAAAGACTCATACTGTGTATCAACCAAGCCTTAGAATTTAGACTCACAGGCAAAGTTACAATGGGGGCAACCCATTAGCCCATTTGCTGTTCATTATTTTAGCCTAAAGTTTAATTTTTTTAATCTAGAATAATAATAAATTTGTAAAATTAGATTATGAATATTAATAATTAAAAGATTATTATCATTAATACTAACAATGATAACTTATTTTATATAAATTTGCTTCTTTTTTTATAAATTTTTATCATTTAAATTGTTAATAAACAAATCTTAATGTTATAAATAAATGTGAAAATAGTTATTTTTAATAATTATCACCATTTTCAAAAAGATTGAAATTTGCCTAAAGTCTCTTAAACCAATATCATTTTTTTATAAAAATAAGAAGGAAAATTTTAAAATTATCGATTTATGTCCTCACTAAAAAAATTTTCTACCTCCACCCTGCTTGAACTTGTAATTTTACAACCAAATTCATATAAAGCAATATGAGTAACTATTTCTAAGTGGCGAGTCTAGATGGTTATGCCAACAAATACAAAGTTGATAAGATTACGCTCACATTAGGCTTACATTAAGTCTGAAGACATAAAAGGCAGAAGATCAATTAATATGTAAAATATGCTTCAAATAGGAAAGATACTAAAATATTATTTTTTATGGCCATCTCATAGACAATTTATAGTTGTCACATTTTTTTGGATATTAACTAAAACAAATCAACTTCAATAAATTAACTCTCTTGATCTTTTATATCTATTAAAAGAGATAAAAATCGAAGAACTAAGTGCATACCTCAAATTATTTGTATTGAAAAAAGTCAACCTACCTAATTATAAAAGCTTGGTCTCACATGTCAATGAGACTAAGGTTTCGTTTGGGACGGCTTTGTTACTGTTTCTTAAAGCACTGTTTTAAGAAGCAGTAAAAACTTGTGATTAACTAAAGAAATTGCCCCTACTTGGGGAGTACCCAACAACTATATAGAAATGAAGTAACCTGAAGCACTCGAAACTTCCCTCCAATTTTGTCAACTACGTAAGTAAACCAAGCAGGCTCACATAAAGCGACCTACATCATCACTTGCAAGAACTTGATTAACACAAGGAAAGTGGATTGGCAACTTTATATGGGTCTATTCCTTAATTAGAAATTCTTAATACGTATCAAGTATAATTAAAAAGGATATAACCAACATATTTTTTATTTCAGTCTTTAAATATGTCACCAAAATTATGCTAAGATATTCTTTATTTTGAGACTTCTGAGACATTTTATACTCAACACATTTTTTTTGGATATTAATTAAAATAAATTAGCCTCACTAAATTTATTTTCTTATTCTTTTATGTTTCATAAAAGAGATAAAAAACAAAGAACTAAGTGCATATCTTAGATTGCCCATATTGAAGTAAAGTCAACTTGCCTTATCATAAGATGTTGGTCTCACACGTCATTTAGACCGAATCAAACTTGAGATTAACTAGAAGTTGCCCCTATTAGTAAGTACTCGACAACCCTATAAAAATGAAGTAACATGAAACACTCGAAGCACCACACCAACATACTCAACTGCACAGACCCACCTATACTATTACTTGTGAGAACATGGTCAACACATGTAACTTTCGATAAACAACTTTATGTGGGTCTATCCCTTATTTTGAAAGTCTTAATATACATTGACTACAAGTAAATATAATATAACTATAGCATATTCATTTTAATTTTTAATATTTACTTCAAATCGAAAAACTTCCAAAATATATTCTTTATTTAGCTTCTTCTTAGCCATTTTATAATAAACACATCTCTTTGATATTAACTAAAACAAATCAGCTCACTAAATTGATTTTCTTGATCTTTTATGTTTCCTAAATAAGATAAAAATCAAAGAACTAAGTGCATTCCTCAAATTGCATGTATTGAAGTAAGGTCAACCTACTTGATCATAAGAGGTTGGTTTCACATGTCAATGAGCTCGAATCAAATTTGAGATTAATTAGACGAATTTGTGTCTACTAGGGAGTATGCGACAACGATATTGGAATGAAGTAATATGAAAGATTCAATTCGTCTCACCAATGTATTTGATGGCTATTTGATAAAAAAAAAATGTTAGTGATCGTAATTCAAATTATACATCAACAAAAATAAAAGCATAATTTTTAAAAATCAGTATAGTTACCTATTTGCTATTAAAATAATACTATAATTTTTTACTTAGATATTCTGAACAAGACATAAATATACAATAATAACAAGCCTTTATGCAATTATATGGGATAAATTACACGAAATTTTCTCTATTGTATCCAGTTAAAAATTAAATTAATAAAAAAGAACATTTTTAATATACTTTTTAATCAAATATTTTTAAGTTTACCACTATCTTCCTTTATACAAGCTGGATTTAAATACATCTGCTCTCTTAAATGTGAAATCCAAAGGCCAACATGTTATGTGACCAAATAATCTTCTTATTTTATTTGCCATTGGGGTTACTCAAACTATTCTATTTGTATACTTATTTCAATTTTTGTCTCTAAACATAAAGCCACTCATTCACTTGATCAACCTCATCTCTGCATCACTTAACTTAATTTTATATTTAGATTTATGTTGAAACTTTAGAAGTCATTTAAAATATATTATTTTATTAAATAATTCCATATTTAAAATTTCTCGGCGTAGCATAAATTTAATCCCGATTAAACTAATTCAGATCCCAACATTAATTAATTTCCAAGAATAAGGACAATGGGTTACAACTCAAAGACACTAAGCAGTGACAAAAGTCTTAAAGACGGTAAGTAACAATCAGTAAATAATAAAAACAAAGGCACCGAACAGTAAACATCACTTTTCCGCATAATCAAAAAGAAAAAAAATGGAAAAATGGGAAAGTTAAAGGACAAAGCGGTAGCGGCCAATTAAAACCCCAACCCTTTCCCTCTTTACCCTGTCTGCAGAGAGGGTGAGAGAGCCTCCTCGCTCCCCCCGACCCGAGCCCGTCCTTACCGAAGCTGAAAAGACATCAAAAGCAAACTGAGACCTAAAGCTACCGCCGAAGTCTAGATGCGAGATAACCAAAACACACAGATTGTCAAAGAGATTAGAAGGATGAGCTCGCATCACAACTGAGGAAGAAGAAGAAGAAGAAGAAGAAGATAATGGATTTCTCTTCACTCTATGACCCTCTCTTCTGCCAAGAAGATCGTTTAGAGGAAGAAGAAACAGAGCAGTATCTTGCATTACACGAAGCAGAGGATGTAGAAGACGTAGAAGATGAGGAATGGGCGGAGGTGATCTCCTCTCTCCTTGCCAACGAGGTGGAGACCTACCAAGAACTCTGTGTAACCGCTGGTGACACCTATCTCTTCCAGGCGAGGAGGAATGCTGTCGAATGGTTGGCAAAGACGAGCGTTCAACATGGCTTTTCTGTTCAGACGGTGCTCCTCGCTGTCAGCTACCTCGACCGCTGCTTTCTTGCTGGCGATGGCGGCGGATTAAGGCTACAAGAAGACAAGCCATGGATGGGGCGGCTCGCCGCCGTTGCTTGCCTTTCGCTTGCGGCGAAGGTTGAAGAGACGCGAGTTCCCCTGCTTCTTGATCTCCAAGTGCCGCCTCCGGCGGCCGGTGACGAAATGGGGTATGTGTTCGAGAACAGGACGATTCGACGAATGGAGCTACTCCTGCTGTCAACACTTGGGTGGAGAATGAATCCCGTCACTCCTCTCACCCTCGCTAACCGTCTCCTTCACAAGATTCCGACGGCCTCTGGCCGCCTGCCAGAAATCTTTGGTCGCTGCGAGTCCGCTTTGTTGGCCGTTGTCGCTGGTGGGTAGCACAGATTTGGCCTTTTTGTTATGTTTTATGTATCAGTATTCTAAAAATTGGATTTTGGTGCGAAGATTTGGGATGGGTTCGGTATCCACCGTCGGTTTGGGCAGCAGCGGCGCTGGTGTACGCGGTGAGGCTGCCGGATGAAATCGCCTGTGCTTCGCCGGAGATGGATATTCCACTGGATCTTCTTAAAGTTTCGAAGGTCTGACCTTCAACTTTCTCCTCTCTCCTGGTATCATATTATTTTCCTCTTTCATAACCCAGTGAAGCTCGTGAACAGGAAAGAATAGGTGGCGCCTACAAGCTCATTCTGGGGCTCATTATCCCTTCCGATTGTTTCCTCTATGGCGTCGGCATAAAAAGGAAGCTTTCTAATCACAACCAATGTGGTTCAGTACATTCTTACTCTTCTCCTGGAAGCCCAAATTGTCTTGTCGGTTCTTGCTTCACCTGCGAGAACTCTTCGAGCAGTGGTGATTCATTGGTTTCTTCTTTCCCGGAACTTCCTCCATTCAAGAAACCAAACACAAAGCAAATCACAGACAATGGAGAAAGCAAGGAGCTTGTCATTGAGCATGGAGTCCTCCTCGCCTGAGCTTTCCTTTCATCCTTAAAAGTTTTTGCCAATACTCTAAACATTCTGATCGTTAAGGGAAAGCGATAATGTTTCGATACTTTTAACAATGAAGAAGAAACTGAACCGAAGCATAAATGGATGGTCAGTGGCCTAAAGTTGCCTCCTGCTTTCTGAAATCATCAATGCTGTTTCTATTTTCTTAATCATCAATGCGTATATAACTTCAAATCTTCCCAAGCTGCAGATAGTTAATGCCTTCTATCATATGGAGCTGTATACGTCGGAAAGAAGATGATGGAGAGAGAGAGAGAGAGAGAGAAGATAAGGATAATGCTGTTCATGAATTAGAGTGAATTTAACGGTCTTTTTTTTCTTCTGACTATATGCATTCCGAATATCTGCGATGATTCGAGCTTCTATCGTATCAGATTAATCTGTTAGCGACATTTTTTGTAGATTTTTTTCTGGAGGCAGCTTCGCTTTCTGGCAAGTAAAATTCTGATCGTTCAAAATTAGAAAAGTAGCTGCTTAACATATAATTATTACGATAACTAAAGAGTATTCAAAAGCAAGATGCAAATAGTTTTCTCTGGTGGTTTGTTGGCTGTGTTGATGTCATATCGATTGGATTTTTAACACAGCTCACAATTTGGACAGAAGTACTCTGTCTGTTTTTCCCCTAAAATAATTTGTTTTTTTTAATTTTTCAGAAAAAGTGCTCAATTTGCTATCAATCAAGTCAAACTTTGCTGAAAGCTGACTGGACCGGATTATGTTTTGAGTTCCAACTCGCTAGCTTTTAAATATAATAAGTGCAAGCTTTTAAATAAGATAAAATTAGTCGGACGAAAAGCGCTCCGCGGCCTCCAAAACCCAGGATTTCCTTTACTTTTCCTCTCTTTCTCTCTCTTCAAAATATCTGATTTTTAAAAAATGATTTTCTCTCTCCTCAAAACGAGCTGATTTTCTTATATCATAAGGCTGATCGGCCCGGCCGATCGCAAGATCGTCCTGGGACGATCAGACCAAAATCCATCGGCCTGGACGGTTCCCAGGGCGATCCTCGGGACGATCCAGGAAACAGCCGTTTTCAGTACACTGATCAGCCTGGACGATCTTAATATCGTCCCGGCCGATCCTGGGAGGAAAATCCAATCTAGAGAGGAATAGTAAGGGAACGAGGTCTCACAAGTAGTCTGTGGTGTGAGCAGAGTTAGTGCGCGACATATTTGAATTTCTATAAAAAATGAGTGAGTTTTGAAAACATAAAATTTTAATCTACATTTCTTTTTCATTAGACAAAACATCAGAATTTTTAAAAATATTGTATTTGGAATATCTTACACTTACATTTCATCTAATCAAATAGCTTCTTAATATTATCTTTTATTAGCCAATATGCTTCATTTCAGTTTAATTCAATAGTGCACTTTTGTTATTAGAATTAGCTAACTAATCCCAAATTAAGCATATTATTACAATTGATAATCATCATTTTAATCTACCTAATTTTATGCCAATCAACCTCTTTATTGTTCCCTCGTGTTGAAAATATTGTTACTGCAACTAAGGCTGTATATTTTTAACTTTCTTAATTTTGCCAGGAAGTGGACGAACGGATAGTTTTCTTGTGAAGAGGATGTCGGCCACTACTATGGACTATGGGGGTATTTTTATATTTAGTATTCTATTAACTGTTAGTAATTAGGTAAATGAGTTTGGACTTATGTAGGGTTTGACCTCCATAAAGGTAAGGACAACGAGACCTCAGCTCCTTGGAGGTAGTGAAGAGCTTTTAGGATGATTAAGGTAATGAATTTGGGTTAAAATAGTAAAAATCGTCTCTCTTAACATTTTCCATTGAGGAGCTCCTCCTTTTTTGGCTATTTTATTTGTGATGAAATAATTGTTTTTTTAATGAAAAATTTAATAATTTGATAATAAATATATAAAATTCATGCTATTTGATGGTTCTTATACTTTGATTTTTTTAATCAAGATGATACTTCATAGACATTATTTTGATATTTTATTAGTGTTATTTGAGATATTATAAATAAATGATGAATAACTTTGATATATCATCTAAAAATTATCTTGATCGGGCACGAATCTCAAGGATAAATCAAGTTGGAAACTTCCAAAATTAAATTTGGGATCATCCGAGATCTGATTTCTGCAAACTTAGTCGAACTGAACGTCTCGACAAGAAGAACCTAACGACACCAAATTTGTCAATTTGAGCCTAAATGAGTGCAAGTCAAAAGACACTAAGCACATTTGGAAAGTTCAAACTATAAATTGGACGACCAAACGATTTTTAAACATGACATGCTTATAGTTGAATCGAGCGGCTTAACGAGACGAATCAAACGAAACTAAGATCGTTGAATTCTGACACCATTAAGGCACTCAATTCTTCCATAAATAGTCCATGATCAAGGGAATCAATATCAGCCATTCATCTTAAACAATCCCAACCTACCCTTTGTCTTCTCACTATTTACTAGCCATGCAACTCCCCAAAACTATAAATTTACCTCTAATTCTTCATAAAAAAGGAGAGGGAAAAAGGAAGGGAGAAGGATAGGAAGAAGGAAGAGAAATATGAGATCTCTCTTGCCACCAAGCTCCTCCTCGACCATCGACTGGACTTTTGCCGGACCACCGGCTACCGCCGGACTTCCACCGGACCACTGCTTGTCGCCGGTCTTCCGTATGATTTCTGCCTAACGCCTGACTTCCGTCCATCAAATTTCCACCCATCACCGTAGTTCTACCCATTGTCAAATTTCTGCCAGTCGTCCGACTTCAGCTAGACCATTGCATGTCGCTGGATTTCTGTCGAACTTATGCCTGACACCGGACTTACGTACATCATCGAACTTAGGTTCATCGTCGTACTTTTGCTTGACATCGAACTTCCATCCATCATCGAACTTCCGCCAATCATAGTACTTCCTGCCATCGCCGACTTCTGTCCGTCATCGGACGAAAACCAATCTTCTATCCTGCTGGTAATTAACCTAGAATTTCCATACGACCATCGATCATCACTGGATTTCCATCCGATCTCCATTTGTCACAAGTTTTCAACCCGATGGTTGACTTTTATAACCTGACCTTCCTCAATTTCAAGGACAAACAAATCACTTATAATATATTCAAACACTAATGAAATCATTTCAACTAGAAGTGACCCCATGATTTTTTCCTTCGGCGTTTTGAATGAAAAAATTATGGTGTTTATTTTTCCTTTGTTTGTGTTCTTCATACTTGTGCAATGCTAAAACTTGAAGTTTTTCGTACTTTACTGCCGGGAATACTCTATCCCGCAACAAACTTATAAGTATAAATTATGTTGATACAAAAGCTAATTTCTCTTAAAATAATGATTGAAAGCAATCAATTTTTTTTTGTAAGGTCCTATTTTTATAATATACCTATTTGGACTATTTTTCTGCTTTCAAATTTATTTGGTCAAATATATTTTTTAGACATAAACACCCTTAAATGTATAGTAAGTATTTATCTTGTTGAATCATATCCTGCTCAAAATAATGAGTATTGTCAGTGTGTGCTCCTTTATACGAGCCGTTATTACGTCCTCCGACCGGATGCAGAGGAACATCCGGTCGTAGGCAAAATACCGCCTATACCGAAAAAAACTCGGTACACCTTGGTATAGGCGGTATTTTGCCTACGTATATATATTATAAAACCTACTTATATGGGCCTACACATTAATATAAAAAAGAGATTACAAGTCCTTAATGAATCAACAACATTCTAAAAAAACATCATTTAAAACAAAACCTACGAGCCTTTGATTAAATTTATTTCAATACACAAGCAAAAGAAAGAAAAGACAATCGAAAAAGACATAAGCACCAAGAGAACCGCCCAATATAAGCCATCTAAAAGAAGCTAATGCCAAGGAGAGTTCCAACCAAAACATTAACCCAAGCAAGATAACTCAGGCGGTCAGCAACAATCCCACCAAGAACAACAACATGAGCATCAAAGAAATCTACAAATGAAAAATCAAACAAAACAAAGTCAAATAAATAACCTATAGTAGGACAGCTACCAACAAACCTTAAGCCCCAGTGAACATGAACACAATAAAAAAGGCTACATAACCAATAGAACACCAACAAGAACACCGAGAAGAAAGATCACCACTAGGAGAACAATACACACCAGGAGACCCCCAACCCAACACCCCAACCTTCCAAAACCCAAACACCAAATGAACAACAAACAAACACGACACCCTGCATCAAACACATAGACCCCCAAAAGAGCAAGCAAAACCTCATATATAGGCTTACCCAAACCAAACAAACACACAGAGCCCCACAATCGAAAGAGCACACCAAACAAAAGAAAAAGAACTAACCAAGAAGCGAGCCATCAGCAGAAGATAGGAACCATAACTGTGAAAATTTAGATTATATGAATATAATGACAAATGAGAATATGTTTGAACAACCATAAAAATTGATTCTAAATTTGTTCAAATTTTATTCAAATCTAATTTTATCCTAATTATAAGTAAACAATTAGTTTTAAAATTTAATTAAGGTAACATAATAGTTATACAAGGTTCTATTTATATTAAGGTTTAATTATATGCATGATTACTAGTATAGATAACATGTCAAAATCACATAATCCTTAACTTATGAGTAATAATGCATGAACTTGTAAGTGACATTGACTTGATCACCCTTGAACTTGCATGTATTAATAATATAAATTTTCATTGAACTTGTACTTTTACTTTTCAGGAGCTCTCATGTATTTATATTATGAACTGTCATTTAAACCTTAACTTGACTTTAGGATTGAACATGCCAATGTCTACTTATAACTTCACTACCACTTATCCCTTCACTTGACCATTCTCACATCTATTAAAGACAGACAGAGACATACTCGATTCCCTTTATAACTCCACTTCTCCTTATATCTCCACTTGGACATCCTGAATCTATTTAAGATAAATAGAGGAATACATGAACATAAATATGTAAGGGCCCTTGTAACATGACTTGTACTTGAACATCTCCCGCATTCTTCACATCTGCCATATGAATATACATTGCATCATATACACATGAAAACATTGTTATATTTAACATGCATAAATGACATTTTACCTAAAGTATGAATGCATGTAAATGACACATATATGATAACTCTAGTAATATATATGGGTCAGTTCATGTACAAAAATTTAATAATGGAATTTCATATTATGTAGTACTTTCTATTAAATTCAAC